CAATGGCACCATGCTGGATGAATTGGATTATAGAGTTTTGGAGGAAATTTTGTGCTATTTCTGCTTACTTCAGTGAAGGAGGAGTTCTGTTAGCATTTTCTTTCAGTCTAGTCTCCTATTTTAAACATAGTTCTGTCTCTCTAGATGTCTATTTTCAGTCTGCCTATATTTAGAAAGACTCTATGCTTGTGCATTTCACTGTAGCAAAATAATCTGGCAGCTGGAAGTTTCAACAGCGCCTTATACCACAATTTAAAAAATTATGTTTGCTTCAGTAGATTATATAACAACTTTAAGGAGATTGATATCCCATTATTAACTTATTTTTCCATTGTGCTAAAGATATATACAAGAAAACATTCAGCAATTCAATAATTTCCACATATAAAATTCAGCGACATAGCCTCTTCATGTTGTACAACTATTATCATTATCTTTCCTCACCACAATGAACATAAACTCAATTTTCTCTATGCAAAATCTTCCCCTTCCCTCCAATCTCTGGTAACCACTAATAAACTCTGGTTTAGAATAATTGAGTCATGCAATATTTACCCTTTTGCAATTGATTCATTTCCTCAGTATAACACTTTCCAGGTTTACCCATGGTGTGGCATGCATCAGAACTTCACTTCTCTTCATGGCCATTTGCCTACTGCATGTATAAGTCACATTGTATTTATCCATTCATTATTTAATGGACATTTCCACATTTTGACTATTGTGAAAGGATCTTCAATCATATAATGTAATCTTGCCTATATGGCATTTATGTATGCTCGCTAACTGAAGAAATGAACTTTTCTAAAATTTAAATTATCAGAAGTAGAGACAGAGTCCTTAAGAGAGGCGGAAGAGAAAAACTTTATGTACAACGTTAGAGATCATCTGAATCAAAACTGGGTGTTTTGAAAATGCTCTCCAACTTGTCCAGTCAAATCTTTGCTGAATTTGATCTTGTTGGCCATGATTTACCCTTCCTTACATGACTGACCTGTCCAGACCCGTGTTGGCCAGTCTGATTAATGCTCTGAAGGCAGGCAGCCTGGGTTTGAACCTTTGATTCCCTTGCTCTCTATACCCCAGTTATTCATGTATTAGGCGTTCATTCTTAATCTCTATGTATCTGCCCAATGGTGGTAAAAGTAATGTCCATGTTTGTTGAGGATTAGAAGAAGCCTCAGCACAAAGCCTAAGATAGAGCAGGTACTTGTTAAAAGACAATGCTTCTATGACCTGATGAAGTAATTGAGCTGATAATCAGTTAGTGCATACACCTTTCCAACTATAAAATTTGCCTGTAGCTCAGGGGTTTTGGTTTTTAACTTTTTACTTTAAAAAATTGTTTCATTGTGGAGACATTGTAAGAATAAGAATAGACTACAGGGCACATATACATACTTAGGCTAGACACACATTTTGTTAGTATATTACTTCATGGGCTTTATCATTTCCTTTGCCACCTCTTTGACACACAGTCATACACACAAATGGTTTTCTTCTGAACCATTTGAGAATAAGCAACATATACCATGGGTGTTTGTTCCCAATATTCCCAAAGAATAAAGATGTTATATAACCACTGTGTAGTGATCAAATTCAGTCCTCTCTAGAATATGTTCTCCTTCTTGAATAAGATCCAGTCTAAGGTCAGGTATGGACTGTAGTTGTCAGATCTCTTTTAGGATTCTTTCAGTGGAGTGTTCTGTAGAGAGTTATGCTACTAACACAAAGGTTAGAAATTTCCTAAGTAGCTTAGTAGTTAACACTTTTAATAGTTCAGTTAGTAGTTTAGGTAGTTTAGTAGTGAGTTGAGCTACTAATCCAAATGTTAGGAGTTTTCTCTCTGTTGAAGTTGTAATCCACCAGTGGCTCCATGAGGGAAAGATATGCAATCTCCTCCTGTGTGATTTATAGCTTCGCAAACCAAGTGGAGGGTCAGTTAGGAGCAGAAGTGGACTTAACAGTACTGGGAAAGTGAGTAATCAGAAATGATCATAGCCATTCTTTGTCTTTGATGCCATTTTAAGATAGAATGATCTTCGTGTTGGATTTGTCTAATGCATCCTCATTTACAAGATCTGTGTCCAACTGGAGTACCACGTAAGTTATGCCATGGCCTTTTCTGGGTGTGCTATCTTGAGGCTCCCAGGGTCCATCTGCTCCTCATCAGGGATACTAATTTTGTTCACCCAGTCAATATATTCCTTTCTCCATTATATACTTACTATTTTCTCCCTAAATGAGTCCTGGTGGTACTCTAGGTTAAACCTTGGGCTGCTAACCTAATGTCTATGGTACATATCACTTATTCTCAAATAGTTCAGAATACTAATTACATGTATGTGAGTGTAGGAAAGAAACGAGTCAGTCTTCTTCTGTAAAGACTTACAGCCTTAGAAACTCTATGGGAACAGTTCCACTTTGTCCTAGAGGGTTGCTGTGGGTCAGAAATTACTCAACTAGAGCTCTGGTGCCTTAGGGGTAAGAAGCTGTACTATAATCCCAAAGGCACACTGTTCAAATCTACTAGCTGCTCTGAGGGAGAAGAATGAGTGATCTCCTCCCATGTGATTTACTGCCTCTGATAGCCTGCTGGAGAATCAGCTATGTGTTGGTTCTGACTTCACGGAACACAACAACAGCAATAGAGTGAATTCAGTTCAGTATTTCTCCCTTTGCAACTATTAGGCGGGAATAGACTCTAAAGCCATGCAAATACCTTGATTTTCTCCAAAATGTGTCCCTGGATAAAACATCCACTGGTGATTCTTGACATGATCCAGCCTTTACTATGCTGTTTGCAAAGATGAAGCAATCTGCTTTGGTAAAGTTCTGCAGCTTTGGAAATGCTATAGGGCAGTTTGGTTTTGTCTTGTAGGGTCCTTTTTACTCAGAGCTGACTGAATAATGGTGCATTTAGTGTGGGTTTTGGTGTGAAAAAAAGATGTGTTTCCAATGCTCTTACAATGCATTCCACATTGACTGCCTCCCAGTGTTCCACTAGACACAGTTGTTGCTCTTAATCTTATTTGCTGACCATTCCTTTTCCTCATGTGTAACTGTTTCAGTACTCTGCTGAATTCACTGAATTAATATCTCCAGGTTTTTAGAACTTTACTTCCAGTCTTCTTGTATTAATATGGATTCCTAAATTAGTTTTTTCCAATGTCTTATAATTTAATATTCTCCTTAATTATTTTGATATAGTTATGTGTTAGATTTAGCCAATGTTAGTTCTGGGTTTTTGAAGGCAGTATTGCAACTCAAAGGATCCTAAAGATCACAGAAGGGTGTTATTTTGTGAGCCAGAGAGAGGTCTGTATTGTTGAGATAGTTGGAACATTGAGGCAGCCAGGAGGTCTTTCTACAGATGTGGTTAATTTTTTCCCAATAGTCTCAAAACTCTGTACTGACTTTGTTTTCTTTACATGTTCAAAAGAAGAAAGAGCGTTTGCTTATTGTAAACCTCCTGCCATTCTTTTGTAGTTGTTTCATGGAGAGCACAACAAAGGAGTAAAAGAAATCTCAAGAAAAGAATTCTTAAGCTTCAGGCCTGCTGAGAGAAGCAAGGAGCATCTCGGCTCTTTTTGTTAAATAGTAAATAACTCTTTCTGCTATTGGAAAAGGAAATTTCTTCAGCAGAGTTACAGCACCATTTTCTCTATTTGATAAATCATATTTTGGACTTACCTGTTCCACTGCTAGGAATATACTCCAAGAAAATGAGATATGACACACACACAGAAATCTGTATAGCAGTGTTCATAGCAGCATTATTCACCATTCCAAGAACAGCTCAAATGTCCAACCACATTTGAATGAATTGAGAAATTGTGGTACATTCACATAATGAAATACCATGCAGTACTCAGGATCAATGATTTTGAAAAATACTACATTAACTTGGGAGAGACTGGAGCGCATTATGCCAAGTGAACTAACACAGACTTATAAGGAGAAATACTGCATAAGACCATTATTGTAGAACTAGAAGATAACTAGTAAAACATGTATAAGGATCCAAGGCGGGGAGGTAGGAGCAGAAGGGTGATGACAGGAGGTGGGGAAATCATAAGGTCGCACAATTTGATGTGTGGAGGAAGGATGGGAAAGGAAATGGGAAAGATCTGGTAGGGATCTGGACAGGGTAACGGTGGGCATAGTTCAATGGTGATTAGTTTTATCAAACATAATAAATGGGTATGATTATATGAAATACAATGTGAATGAAGGATAGTGTAAAACTCAATGTATACTAACTTTGTAAGCAAACCAATATAATATAAAAATTTAAAAAATATTTTGTTGTCTTTTCAGTAGAAGTGTACACAGCAAAACAGGTTACCATTCAATAATAACTATAACTAGTTCTGTGACATTGGATATATTCTTCACATTTTATCACCATTGTTATTATTTCTATACTTGTACTGTTCCTTTTAATGTCTCATACTCCCAACTTTTCCAGCTATACTTTGAAGTGATTTGCTTTTTATTTAGCTGCCTATTAGCAGTTATTTTAAAGTATCCAATGATGAGATTTCATTACTTTATGAGCTAAAAGGCGACCACTAGAGGTGATAGTTTTGGTTCAAGAAAAAAAGGATGTCTTGGGGGTTAGTCTCAGGCTTTCTCCTGCTACAGTGAATCTACAAAGTTTGGATTTTAAAAAATTTGGAGATCTGTTTCCCATTTTTCCTCTTCCTAGTGTTAGGATCTATCTATCAGGGACCCTATTAGAATGTAAAGTAGTGGTATCTGTGTACCATCTAGTTCTGGTCTCAGGTAGAGGAAGGGGCAGATTTAGACTCACTCAGTTCATGTAGCTCTAACCTCCGTTCTCATCCATAAACTAAGTCAAAGAGAAAGGGAGTTAGTATTTCTTAGAAATCTTGACCTACCTGACATAGTGGACACATGCAACAAGCAGGCATCCCAGGTAGAGGGAGAGGAAGATGAGGAAACTGAGAAGAATGGCCTTCACATAAACAGATTCTGAGGGAAGAAAAACAACTTTGGTCAGGTTAACATCAGGAGAAAAGAGGAGAGTCAATGTCCACATTTGGGACAGTTTTAAAGGTATTGCCTCCACCATGCCTATTCTTAAGCCTTGAGAATTTTCTACTAAAAACAGAAACATTATTTGATGTCACCTAGATTTGGTCCATGGAGCTCTGGTGGCCTAGCAGCAAGAAGCTGCACCATAACCATGAAGGCATGCTGTTCGAGGCCACCAGCTGCTCATGGGAGAAGGATGGGCAGTCTCCTCTCGTGTGATTAACTGCCTCTGATAACCTGCTGGAGGGTCAGCTATGGGTTGGTTCCGACTCAATAGTACACAACAGCAGCAACAACAACAATAGATTTGGTCCATAAGTCTGGTCGACCAAAAGTCTGGCCATTTGAACCCACCGGGTGCTCCAAGGGAGACCAGTCTCCTCCCATAAAGATTTACAGCTTCTGAAGTTGGAATCAATGGGAAGTCAGTGGGCTTGGTTTCTGTAGACATTATTCATAAACGACTGTCTCTGTCTGAGAAGACATGATAGCTGGTAAGACATCGCAGCATCTAAGCTTCCTTTTGGAACAAATTTAGCAAAATGCTTGAACTCTCCCTTCTATTTCCAGTCTGAAAATACTTTCGTTTTCTTAAGATGAAATATGGAAGGATGACATCAGCACTGGATTATATATGAGAGACTTCCTGATTTGAATTTTTCAACTGTTTCCTAGAGTCAACACTGACCTTTAATGGAAGGAACAATGGTCACTTTAAGGTTCTTTATTCGCTGCAAATTCCAAGTCTGGTTCTCCTTTTCTGATTAAAAAAAAAGAGAGAGAGAACAAGGTATAATAGGTCAGATACTAAGTGTGTAGTCTGTTGTATTCCACTGCCCCACCCCCTGCAATTGTAGAAATGAACTGTGTCAGGGATAGATTACCCAGTAATCAAGGTAAGCATGAGTTACTTGTATTTAATTACTAATCTGTAGGGAACAATTTCTTATTTTTCACCACATAAAAGATTCTGTATGTAGTTTGGCTCACATTTGTCTATCCCAACCTCACAGCACTTCTGGGAGAATAAAAGTGTCTTCAAATTTACAAACCCTGGCAGGGACAGTGCAACCCATAAGCAAAGTAAATATAGATTTTATTTGTGCTTATTTACTAATCTGTGGTGAACAATTTCACATAATAGGTTTCACTGAAGTGAACAATTTCAACAAAATTGCTTAAATAGGTCACTTAATAAAGGGCAAACATAAAATGATTTCACATTCATAAAACAACTGAAACTGATAAAATTGTTCACTACAGGTTAGTAAGTAAGCACAGGTAAATTTTTCTTATTAATTAATCCATGCCTGCATTCTTTTATTTTAACAACTACTGAGGAAAATTTAACCCCTAAACCTTCAAACCATCAAACATTCCTTTTGGTTATAATTCACAACTTGGTATTTTCTATGCCAAAGGGATTATATAGGGATTAAATGGGATTATAATCTCTCCTTTTCAGTTAAAGGTTGTGTACCCTTTTCCTGATATCCACCAGGCTCAAAATGTCACAGACATCTGATGAAAAAAGCTTGAAAAGTAGAAAGTAACATCTTCTGTTAGCTTGTATTTTTCTAGTAGGCCTGCTTCTCTCCACTTACTTCCCTTATACACTCAACAAAGAACTCTTTTACCAAGACACTTCAGACACTGATAAAACTACCTTGTTGAGCCGATTCTGACTCACAAAGACCTTATAGGAGAGAGTAGAATCAGGATAGAACTAGAGTAGTATCAGGATAGAACTGCCCAAATCAGTTTCCAGGACTTTAGGAAGGCCGGACAATAACCTCTTTTGCCCATGAATTAGCTGGTGGGTTTGAACCCTCTACCTTTCAGTTAGCATGTGATATCTTAGCCACCATGCCATCAGGGCTCCTTAGTCTGGATAGTTATTTATAACTCTTTGTTCTAAGAGCTAACACAAGCCCTAACATTAGGATAAATTGTCACACTTTGCTTTCTTACTATCTTGGAAGGCACAACTTTAGCAACTAGAATGCAGAACTCCAAATCTTCCTTGTCACTCCTTAGGGAAATAATGAATACTAGTAAGTACAAGCCGTTCCATTAGGTCTAGTTAAAAATCTAGCTTAGGAAAAGGACTGTTTTTTTATTCACTGTATGAGCTCATTACTTTATGTTGTTTGTTGTTGTTAGGTGCCATCGAGTTGAGTACAACTCAGAGACCCTATGAACAGAAGATCTGAACCCTGTTCTAACCTGAGCCATCTTCACACTTCCTGACACACAAGAGCCCATTGCAGCAGTCACCACGTCAATCTACCTGGGTGAGGGTCTTCTTCTTCCTTGCTGACCCTCCACCCTTCCCAGTATCAAGTCCCTCTCCAAGCCCCTCCTAGCATCATGCCTAAAGTATGTGAGGAGAAGCCTCATCATTCTTGCCTCCAAAGAGCACTCCAACTGTCCCCTCTCCAAGACATATCTGTTTGTTCTCTGGCCATCCATAGGATGTCCATTACTTCATAGGAGCAACTATTTGTTGAATAGAGGACCAAATGAATGATTATACCTTATCTGGTGTGAGGAAGTAGAAGAGTTTGAAAACATGGAAGGTGCTAAATAACATTTTGTAATATGGATAGTATCTTTAGATCTATTTTCTTCCCTTTATTTTTTTTTCTCCTCAAACTGCTTTATCAAGTTACTTGCTGGTGAACCTTCACTTGGTAAGAACTAGAGATAGTGATAAACTGGCACCATCAGTTTTTTAATTTCCTTTCCATTGCCCTCCTTCAGGTTGTCCTGATAGCTAAGTACCAACATCATCCCTTACCCTGGGTAAAAAACGATCCCCCACAGGCATAATCTTCAGGCTTTATCACAAACACCACGAAGAACTGCTCCCCTGGAAAATCCTTCTTCTGCAAAAGACATAACCACTTTGTGACAGGCAGGCAAGGCATAAAGAAGGGGAAAGGGATGGGACAGGGGGTGGCAAGGAACGAAGATAGAAAGAGGAGAGAGAAGACGAGTGGACCCCTGGCCAGTAACTCTTTGGAAAGGACTTCACATACCCATCACCCATTCCAGATTATCCACGACCACATAATTGTCACACTCAAAGAGTTAAAGTAAATAGATGAGTTGTTCTCATTTCATCTTGTGAATACCTCAGTGCATCATATAAATATGCCAATGTTGCTATCATTGTTATATGCTGTCAAGTCAGAACAGACTCATAGCTGTCTCCAGTGGGTTCTCAGAGTCTGTAAACTTCATGGAAGGAGATGGCCTGTCCTTCTCCCACAGAGTGGTGGATTTGAACTGAGTGCCTTTGGGTTAGGAGTGAAACTCCTTAGCACTAGAGCACCAGAGATCCTTTAACATGATAATAAGCCTATGTTTAATCCTTTGTACTTCTATACAGTAAAAGTAAAAATTTGTTTGAGGCAGAAAACTATTAGGGAAAGTATGCTCAAAAAAAGAGTGAGAGAAATGTGGCATATTGCACTTTGTCAAAAGGCAGAAAGTTTGTGAGACCCAGAAAAATAACTAGGTAACATTTTGTTCTATTATATTCATGGAGCTGACTCAACTTAAAAACCCAATACTTCAGAAACGGTCTTTTTTTTTCACCCCCATGTCCAAATCTCTGCTATTATAATTAGCCAGCTGAGAATGTGGCCCAAGGTAGAGCAAGGTGAGACCAAAATAGAAGTGAGAATTAACTGCAAAATTCATCCAAGGTAGAAATGTACTGGTATCTTTTGTATTTCAATATAATATGTGCTCTAATATTTAAAATCTGAAATGTTCAACAAGCCTTACTTTTTCCTATCAATTTTTATTTGAAACCACATAATACTTGTATGTGGTGGAAGAAAGAAATGCTAAAATCAAAAGCATCTCTTTAGGGTACCAACTCTGAAGTCCAAGATCATTTAAGGTCTGATGGATAAATTAAAATTAGTCTCTCTTACTCTTTGCTATTATTCAACAAATTGTATTTCCTTACACTAAAGAGTAGATCAAGTTTCAGGTACCTTAAGCTAAAGTAATCAATCACACGGTAGGCAGGAATAGACTGTGTGAAAGTATTAACAAAATGTGTGTACATATTTTTGCCATAACATTATTCTTGAAATAGTTGATTACAGATACCAAAATGGTAAACTAATGGACAAATATGATTTGTGACTCCTTGAACTTGTCCATTCTGTTAAGAGTTGAAAACTTCTGATACTGTTGTTGATAAAAAAATTACAAGAATATGTTTCATTGCCTTCAATGGATCAAATCCATTTAATCTTAAATCAACAGCTGTAATAAGTAGACCTCATAGTAGTTCATGAGGCCTTATGTCACTAAATAATCTGTCAAGATATTTGTCCCATTGTATCAAGAGGAAACAGGTTACCAGGCAGGAGAGTTTTGTCATCCACTATCTAGGCATTGACTCCAAGGCCAAGGTTTTAAGACAAACCAAAAAGGAAAAAGGATAGAAGGCACCTAGTGGATGGCGTCCTTTCTACATGTTGGCCAGTTGGTACCCTGACCATTGCATTGTTGATAAGTGACTAGAGAATCAGTGTCTCACCTGTAGTGTGATGGCAGCTTTCTTGGTCATGGATTGGTAGACACCATCAAATTCCACATTGTGGTCAAGATCATACACTGGGCACTGTGGGGGAAAGAAGAAACATATCACTGTATTATATTACACATAGACCCTGTCAAGGTCTTCTCACCTGGACCACAGAGTAAGGATGTCGCTACCAAGTCAGAAGTCATAAAAAGCTTTTCCTAGAACTATGATGAAGTAGTCCTCTTATAATCTGGTGTCTTGTCTTTAAAGCCAAGGCTACTTTCTAGCAAAAAAGTACTATGGAAATCATGTCTTAAAGCATAAAATGCTTTTTCTAGTCTTGAAAACACTTCAGGAGATAGAAAAGATTAATATTACAATGATATTTTCAAAACACAGAGCAATCAATAATCTCTGATTCTATTTATTGTGTGCAGCCTGAAACTCAATCTTCTTTGTATTTTGTCATCATTCTTCCTTTCTTTCTCTTCTCATATGTTTGTTTATGAGATGTCAACCCTTCTTGTATCTTTAAGTCAACATCTAGAATTACGAACTGTTGATATGTATGAAGATGCTGTTTTTATTATCAGGTAAGTGGAACCTATGTGTTAAGAGGATGACATGGTTCCCACCTCTCTCCCCTATTTATTCTATGATGTTACAGTGCTCCATACTGAAGGTTGACAAGGTATCAGGACTCACCATGATATTCTGGACGGAGACAACGGAACATGGATAAGCCATTTCAGATACGACTTTAATGATAACGGAGTCTACATCTTTGGGAAATTTATATAGAAAATACTGAGAAGAAGAAGAAAGAGGAATTATTAATATGAAGAAATATTTACATTTGCAAACTTCATACTTGTTTCACATGAATAGGATAAATTTCTCTAATAAGAGGCACAAAGTTCAGATGTAAGTAGTGGAAGATCTGTACTCATTCAAACATTCATTTATTACATGTGTACTGAGAGCTACTGCTCTGTGTGGCCTGGCTCAGGGTCAGGCATTAGGGAGACAGCAATGAACAAGGAAAAGAAGCTATTCCATGACAATGTTGTGATTTTATCTAGAATGGTGTGATAGCACAAGGACCATTTCTTTCTACACTAGCCTTTGCATCTAATTCTCACTTAAGCAGAATCTTCTACTCTCACTCTATTGCTGCATGTAATATGAGACAGAATTTTATTTTGTGTGGCCATTCTGAAATATGAAGCTTTACCTTATAAAGCAGGTAAGCCTGCTTTTCAAGAATTTTTAATGACCTTTTCAGAGGCAGAATTTGCCTTAGACTCACCCTTCCCCTAGATCTTTTGCTAAATAATCTATTTCCTGATTGAACGATAGTAAGAAGATATTTAGATTCAGAGTCCATAGTTAGCCCCTTGGGATATGCTCACAATTTTGGAAAGGCTGAGATATCTTTTATGGCTTTTTTTTCCAGATATGATCAGAACCAGGAAATACTACTAATAGAGGTTCTATTTACCTACTTAAATCATTAATCCACTGGAAATCTTATTAACTCAATGTTTAAAACTTGAACAAAAATGAACACGAACAAAATGGGACATTTGTCCAATAATTTAAAATGCTCTAACTTACTGAGAGGTTTGACACAAAACATGTGGCTAAGATTTTGATGGGGAAACTCCTTCCACAACAAGTGCCCTATTTTGGGCTCTAATAAACCTTAAAAGAACTGAAAATATGTTAAAACTTAATTTCACATCCCAACATCCTTTATGAACCTAATATTGAGAATCAGAGCCGTAAAGAGAAAATGTTTTTCAATAATTTAAAACTTTCAACCATCTGATTAAGGGAAAACATCTCAGAATGAAAAAGTGCCATTGACACAGCTGTTTCTAAGTCTGTTCATGTCTTTTAACAGATGGCAACACCTCTGAAACTTGCTTTTTTGCTCTTTTGTTTTGAAGCTTGACTCACATATATGTATAATACAAATTATAACATAGCATTCTTTCCAAGAGGAGTACTCTAGGATATTCAAGAGGGGTCCTGGTAATCAAACATTGTAACTCATGAGCATTTTTATTTTTTTAATATTTTACATTCCAAAAACGATTAGAACAGCACATCAGCAGAGAACTGTCGGAAGTCCAGGCTGGGTTTAGAAGGGATCGTGGTACTAGGGATATCGTTGCTGATGTTAGATGGATCTTGGCTGAAAGCAGGGAATACCAGAAGAATGTCTATCTGTGTTTCATTGATTATGCAAAGGCATTTGACTGTGTGGATCATAACAAACTGTGGCTGACTCTGAGAAGAATGGGAATCCCAGAACATTTAATTGTGCTAATATGAAACCTATACTTGGACCAAGAGGCAGTAGTCAGAACAGAGCAGGGTAACACTGCATGGTTCAAAATTGGGAAGGGTGTACGCCAGGGATGCATCCTGTCTCCATACCTGTTCAACATGTATGCAGAGCAGATTATCCGAGAGGCTGGGCTCTATGAGGAGAATTGTGGCATCAGGATTGGTGGAAGATCTATTAACAATCTCCGTTATGCAGATGACACAACCTTGCTTGCTGAAACTGAGGAGGACCTCATGCACTTGCTGCGAAGGGTCAAGGACTGCAGCCTTCAGTATGGACTAAGGCTCAACGTCAAGAAGACAAAGATTCTCACCACTGGACCAATTGGCAGCGTCAGGATGGATGACGAAGAGATTAAGAGTGTTCACAGCTTCACTTTGCTCGGCTCCACAGTCAACACTCTTGGCACCAGCAGTCAGGAAATCAAAAAGCGTATCGCGATGGGAAAGTCTGCCGTTAGGGACCTCTCAAAGGTACTCAGGAGCAATAGTGTCTCTCTGGAGACTAAGGTGCGCCTGATACAGGTCATGGTATTTGCAATCGCTTGTTATGCATCAGAGAGTTGGACAATGACTAGGGAGGACAGAAGGAGAGTGGATGCGTTTGAGCTGTGGTGCTGGAGAAGAGTCCTGAATGTACCATGGACTGCCAGGAAAACAAACAGATTCATCTTGGAGAGGATTAAACCAGGCTGTTCCTTGGAGGCAAGGATTCTGCGGCTTCGTCTGACATACTTTGGACATGTTGCCAGCAGGGACGGGTCCTTGGAGAGGGACATCATGCTTGGGAGGGTGGAGGGACAGCGCAAGAGGGGAAGACCCTCTATGAGATGGATTGATTCGGTGACTGGGGTAATCGGGATGGGAGTGTCAGAGGCGGTGCGGTTGGCGCAGGATAGAGCAGGGTTTAGGGCTGTTGTGCATAGGGTCGCTATGAGTCGGAAACGACTCGACGGCACATAACAACAACAACAACAACAACAACAACAACATTATTTTTAAAATTGGTCTTCTTATAATAAAGTTTATATACACTATTCTTCATTCGCATTGTGTTTCATACAACCATTCTCATACATTATGTTTTATAACAATAATCACCATTGGACATTCATTGCCCGTCATCACCCTGTCAAGAGCATTTTTCTATAATTCCTGTCAGCAACAATGAACCTCATCTATATTCTTATATATTATACTATACACACTTCTCATTCATCAACATGGTTTGGTGCCAAAGACCAGGTCATTATGTAAAACATCAGTATTACGAAAAATTAAGAATAACATCAGATCACAAAATTAAAAAGAATTAGAGTAATTCTAACACATGGGTCCAAAAAAACAAAAACACTACTCATGAAAGATGGACCACAAGAGTTCAATTCTTTGTGTATGGGATCTCCTTAAGTTGACGGTGGTGGAGTATACAACATGTAAGACTGTTAGACAAAAGGTTGTTATTTTTAATCTCCCAACCACTCACAGATGCAAAAATGGACAATCTCTTCTTATACAGGTTTATAAGGTCAGAAACTCAATGGAGGGTCACTCTGAGACAGACTCGATGATGGTAGGTTTGGCCTTTGTGTATGTATATTTTCATAAATATATACACATACATAAACTTTCCATTTTGTCTCTTTTTTATACTGGTATGTCTATAATTATATATATTATATATAGATGTCTATAACAAATAAAATTACTTCCTTTTGTAGAAAAAAACCTAAAAAGTGATGGGATAATATCCATACACATACAAGGAAGTCAAGGGAATAATACCATCATTAAAATATATGGGGGTGGGGATAGGGGTAGGTGGGTGGGGAGAAAAGTGCAACAATGAATGAATGGAATTCCAAAATCTCTGTAGATGTTCATTGAAATTAATAATAATAAAAAAAGAAAAAGAAAAAAAATACATGCACCAACAACCAGAGCCAAAGAGGAGGAAGTAGAAGATTTCTACCAACTTTTGCAGTCAGAGATTGATCAAACATGCAATCAAAATGCATTAATAATAATGGGTGACTGGAATGCAAAAGTTGGGAATAGAGAAGAAGGATCAGTAGTTGGAAAACATGGACTTGGTGACAGAAGTGAAGCAGAGATAGAATGATAGAATCTTGCACAATCAACGACTTATTCATTGCAAATACATTTTATAAGGAACACAAACGCAGGTTATACACATGGACTTCACCTGATGGTATGCATAGGAATCAGATTGATTACATCTGTGGAAGGAATCACTTGAGAAGCTCAGTATCAGTTGTAAAAACTAGGCCAGTTGCTGATTGTGGAATATAAGTTCAAGCTGAAGTCAAGGAAAATGAAATCAAGTCCACAGGAACAAAAATTTGACCTTGAGTGTATTCCATCTGAATTTCAAAACCATCTCAGGAACAGGTTTGAGGCCTTGGACATTAATGAGCAAAGACTGGATGAGCTATGGGAAGATATCAAGTATATCATCCAGGAAGAGTGCAAAAGATGTCAGAGGGAAGCGAGGGAAGACAAAGTAAAGTATTACAATGAAACATGCCAGGAGCTGGAGTCAGAAAATTGAAAGGAACGAACTCGTTCAGTATTTCTTAAGCTCAAGGAACTGAAGAACAAATTCAAACCTTGAGTTGCAATACTTATGAATGCTTTGAGCAGAATATTAAATAATGCAAGAGCATTAAAAGAAGATGGAAAGAGTATACAGAGTCATTGTACCAAAAGGAATTGGTGGATACTGAAGAATTTAATGAAACAATGTATGAGCAAGAGTCTGTGGTGATTAAGGAGGAAGTTCAAGCTGCTGTGAAAGAATTGGCAAAAACAAGGCCCTAGGAATTGATGGCATACTGATTTGACACATTTCAACAAACAGATGCTGCCCTGGATGTGCTCACCAAGGTGTGCCAAGAAATCTGGAGGAAAACCACCTGGCCAACTGACTGGAAGAGATCTACATTTGTTCCCATTCCAAAGAAAGGTGATCCGATAGAGTGTGGCAACGATCGAACAGTATCATTGATATCACATGCAAGCACGCTTCTGCTGAAGATCATAAAAAAATGACTGGAACAGCACATCAACAGAGAACTGGCTGCAGTGCAGGCTGGATTTAGAAGAGGCTGTGGCACTAGGGACTTTATAGCTAATGTTATATGGATCTTGGCTGAAAGCAGAGAGTATCAGAGGAAGTCTATCTGTGTTTAATTGACTATGCAAAGGCATTTGACTGTATGGATCACAACAAACTGTGTCTAACTTTGAAAAGAATGGGAATCTCAGAACACTTGATTGTGCTTATGTGAAACTTATACTTGGATCAGGAGGCAGTTATCAGAACAGAGCAAGGAAACACTGCATGGTTCAAAATTGGGAAGGGTGTGCATCAAGGATGTATCCTATCTCCCTACCTTTTCAATCTATATGCAGAACAGATTATCCGGGAGGCTGGATTCTATGAGGAGAAGTGTGGCATCAGGTTTGGAGGAAGACTTATCAACAATCTTGCATTATGAAGATGACACAACACTGCTTGCTGACACTGAGGAGGACCTGAAACACTTGCTGCAGAAGGTCAAGGACTTCATCTTTCAATATGGATTTAACTCAACACCAAGAAAACAAAGATTCTCACCACTGGGCCAACTGGCAGCATCATGATAGATGGTGAAGAGATTGAAATTGTTGACAACTTCCGTTTGCTTGTCTTTACAATCAACACTCTTGGTACCAACAGTCAGGAAATGAAAAGATGAATTAAATTGGGAACGTCGGCTGTCAGAGACCTCTCCAAGGTACGATGTCAGTCTGGAGACTAATCTGCGTCTGATACAGGCCATGGTCTTTTCCACTAATTGCTATGCTTCAGAGAGCCGGACAATGACTAGGAGTGTTGGAAGGTGAATTGATGCCTTTGGGCTGTGGTGCTGGAGAACAGTGTTAAATAGATTATTGACTGCTAAGAGAACAAACAGGTTCATCCTGAAGAGGGTGAAGCCGGGCTGCTACTTGGAGGCAAGGATTCTGAAGCTTTGTCTGACATACTTTGGACATGTTGCAAGGAGGGACCAGTCCTTGGAGAGGGATGTCATGCTTAGGAGGGTGTAGGGCCAGTGCAGGAGGGGAAAACCTTTGAAGAGATGGATTGATTCTGTCACTGGGGTAATGGGGGAAAGGCGTGTTGGCGACATTAAGATTGACAAGTAATAGAGCAGGGTTTAAGGCTGTGTACATAGGGTCGCTATGATTCACAAGCAACTCGATGGCACATAACAACAAACATCATTACAGAACTACCAAATCACATCATTACACAAGTTTTAAACCACTGAGAATTATGATCCATTCAAGTTGACAACTCTGACAATTACAACCAGCATTACTCTTGATTTAAACCTTGACTTTCATTACTACCAGATATGCATCATTAATGCATAAACAGTTGAATAGTAGATTTTTTAAAAATTATTATGAGAAATGTTGGATAACAAGATAGTTGATTAGAGAGGGGCAGGTTTATGTGGTTTTGTGAAAGCACCTAATGAATCCTTTACCTTAAATCAAAGTACTACCACATTTCTTCATCTAAATAACCTAGGTGAGTTTTGTTTTGTTTTTTTAGGTGAATTTTTAAGAATGGAAAATCCTTCCTGCAATTAAAGAGGACACAAAACAGACACAAACATATGGACTATTTAACAGTAAATGAAGACATTTACAGGTACTGAAGACTTTTTTATTTTATTAGTTTGTTTTCATGTATATTTTGAGGATCCTTGGTAACATACTGGGCAACATTTTGAACTGCTAACCGAAAAGGTTGGCAGCTTGAATGCATCATCCACTCCTCAGGTTGTGTCCACTGTCCTTAGTAACTAGTGCTTTCTAAATAGTTTTTGAACTATTCACTTACTCATTGCTGTTCAGTGGGACCTATTCATAGCTGATGCTCCACTTGGTTTCTGAGGCTCTAAATCACATGGGAGGAGATTATCAATCTATCTCCAAAGGAGGTGGTGAGTTCACACCACCACGGATGAATGGTCTTTAAGACAGCAGTGCAATACTCCCTTTATATTATGCCACCAGTGCTCCTTTCTTGAATTAAATGGCCAAAAAATGTTGAGGGCAATGGACCATGGGCCCTCTGCGGTCACTGGGTGGCAGTATTCATTCGTTGCCGAGACTTCAACTGAAAAAGGAAATTTGACCCTATGTGATGTGTGGGAACTGTCTGGCGTAGGTTTTGGAAAGTTGATTGCATACGTCTCTTCTCAAGTTTGTGTTCAATTACAGCTCATTGGGAGCTTGAAATTAACTACGTCAGAAATTAACTACACTGCAGAAATGGGCAAACGTTACAAATTAGGGCTTTCTTTTGGAGAAGCAGCTGTTAAATATTTACTAGCACACTAATCATTGTAATGATTTATAACAATGCCCCTATAATGTTAACTCTAAAAGTGAAAATTAAGTATTCATATATTATTAAAAGTAAACAGTAAGTAGCCATTTATGATCACAGCTATATTACAGTATGTAGCAGATTTAAATAATATCAGGACCTTAATAAAACTGTTTTCAACTTGCATGGGTGAAATTATTCGTAGGGAGTGGTGCAGCTAAACCAAAAGGCATGCTTCTCTGGTGGTTTGAAGCCACCAGCCACTCTGAGGGAGAAAGATGGATAATTTACTCCCGTGCAATTGATAATCCTGGAAACTCACTGGAGGGTCTGTTTGGGGTTTTGGGGTTTGAGATAACTTTATTGCACACTGAACAACAACAAATCACTAAGTCCATGTACTATTAACAGCACAGCTTCTGGGCTTTACTTGCTGTTGCATGGCAACCAGAAGTGGGACAGACACTAGGCCAGACAGGACAAGGAGGTTGTGCACTGGCCAAGGGCCCAGGGCCACCCATTCCTACCCCAGCAGAGCCCTTAGCCTGTCACCCCTTCCAGAAAGCCAGAAGTTTAGGAGCTCTCCATCTAAGTGTATTTGCAAAGGGAACCCTAAAAGCATCTATGAGTGGATGAGACGAGGTTGACCAAAGCAGCAGAGGCCTCTGACAGTGGGCAGACAAGAGGGAGACCAGGGGCGGCACCACTGTCACACACAGAAGCCAGACCTACGGGACTGACATACAGAGCAAGCAGGTTACATACAGGCAGTGTCTCTTGGCACCTGTTTCACATAACCCCAAACAAGGCATCACAAGATAAAGACACAAGAGAGCTCAGTGGGCGATGTAAACCTCTTAGCCCAGCTGCTTTTTTCAAAATATTTGCAAGTACAGCAGAGCTGTTGTTGTTGTTGTTGTTGTTATGTGCTGTCGAGTCGTTTGCGACTCATAGAGACCCTATGTACAACAGCCCTAAACCCTGCTCCTGCTCTATCCTCTGCCAATCGCACTGCCTGACACACCCATCCTGATTACCCCAGTCACTGAATCAATCCTCCTCATAGAGGGACTGTCCCTCCACTACCAAGTGTAATGTCCCTCTCCAAGGACCTCTCCCTCCTTACAACATGTCCAAAGTATGCCAGACAAAGCCCCAGAATCCTTGCTTCCAAGGAATAGCCTGATTCAACCCTCTCTAGGATGAATCTGTTTGTTTTCTTGGCAGTCCATGATACATTCAATACTCTTCTCCAGCACCACAGCTCAAAAGCATCAATTCTTCTATAGAGCTACAAAGTGTAAAAAGCCTACGTATTCACTGCTTGCTCTTTTTTTATACAACTGCTTTTGTTTTGCATCTTTTCACACAGCCTGCTAGCCCCGGAGGGGTTTGGTGTCCCTCCTTAGAATGGGTGAAGGCATAAGGAAAAAAAAAAAGAAAAGAAAACCCAAGGCCATTAGTGTCCCACCACATGTCCAGGCTCTGATCATAGGTGGATGGTCAGGCACCAGGAAGCACTAAGGGCCTATTTGTCCTCCTCCTTCAGGGAGCCGCCATGCAAGAGCAGGCTAAGAGACCCTCAGGGCATACACGGCCAAGTCATGGTCTGGCAGAGAGAAAAGGGACACTGGGGTGCTGTGTCAGTGGAGGTGAGGAATTTCTCATACTGACAGCAATGTCAGAACAAGGGGCTCAAACAGGGATGGGGGACACTATTTTCAAAACAAAATCTCTAGATATGTGTGTACATTCCCCCTTCCCGCCAGCTGTACACAAGTAGAAAAAGATGCTGCAATGTCTCCAGGATGGACCACCGCTTCTAGTTCCACACGCGACGCTTGCAGTGCTCAGCAGTGTTGCACTGGGATGCCGTCTCTATGTTCTGGCAGCAGTAGCTCAGGCCTGGAGGGTCAGTTTTGAGTCGGGTGCAACTCAATGCAATCGGTTTTGAGAGTTTATTGGGAAAAAACAATTCTTTTTATAAACTGGAAAAAGGGAGCTCTGGTGGCTTAGTGCTAAAGTGTTGTGCTGCCAACACAAAGGCACAGAGTTTGAATCCAACAGTAGTTCCAAGGGAGAAACATAGGCAGTCTCTTCCTATGTGATTTACAGCCTGCCAGAGGGCCAGGTGTGTGTCGGTTGCAACTCTATGGTACATGACAACAATGACATTACAGAAGAAATTTATTCATTATGCCCTTAACATCATAGAAATGACAAATCTGTCTTATTTTCTAGTATTATTTCCATGTCCGTTAAATATCTGTCTATCTCCTTAGTGTTGGCCTTCGACTCCTCTTACCCACTTTAAGCTCCATGAGGGTAAATGTTGCCCCTGCCCCTTCTTCACTGTTGTATCTTTAGCACCCAGGACAGTCTAACTCAGTGCTTAGCACATAGTAGGCACACCACATGCTGAGGAAAAGATGAACCAAGACATGCCTATAAAAAAATATTCTATCTTCCATTTCAAATCAGTTATAGGTGGTTAAAGTTAAAGGTTGTGTTAAAAATTCCAGGGCATGAATAACATTCCAAAGATACATGTATCTCAGGCTGTAAAAAATCAACCACATATTGACTGTACCTGTCATCATGGCTTTTGTTTTTGTTTTTTCCCCCCATAATACCCAACAGATCAAATGATAATAACTCTTGGAATTCTTAACTTACCTGAGGTTGAGAAGGACTGGCAGTGAAGGGAAAGGCAACATTTGTCCTGGGAAATGTAAACAAGACAAGGAATAGAAAAGCAAGTGAGAAAAGCTAGAGTTAGGAAGCAATAATTATTTATTTAAAAGAAAGTCATCTTAAACTATTAAAGAAAAGTCATCTTAAACTAGAAACAAGGAAAGCCTTATCTTTTATGAAGGGAGTTCTGGTTGTTGAATTGACAAATTTCATGAGGACTGTGGTGTTAGCCTAAAGTTGGCTGGTTTAGTCATTATCTTAGCCCCTTTAGTCTCCAACTACCTTAATTGCAGACACGTGATCTTGCAAATCAGCAACAGCTGGAGGGTCAATATAAGAGAGCACTCTTCATACCGAGTGGATGTGTGAAAATACTAACATGGAAGCCGCAGCATCCAGCAGCATCCAGCAGCATCCAGCCTGGCCCACTACTCTCTAGTTTTTATGAAAAAAACAGCTTGCATACCTGAAGTCATGTGAGTCATTCCCCAGATAAACCTGAGTCTCTATAGGACCCTCTAGCAAACTGTTTTACCAAACCCAAAAGACCATAGAGAATTTGGGGAATGGAGCCACAGATGGAACTGTTAATAGCAGATATTATGGATTTATATAGGTGAATGAGCATTTATGAGTATGTTGACCTGACACTTCTGATTAATAGTGTGTTATTAACTGTAGTACATAGTATAAATAAAAACAGGGACTAAGTTGTTTCAACTCTCAAGAAGGATGTACACGAAGAAGGAGGTCCTTTTTTAAATGCCCTTAAATATCCATGAAGTCAACTATGGAAGTAAGTACTTGGCTTAGATATGTGTAGTAACGTCTAACTTTAGACTCTCCTGAGATTTTACTATTAAGCACAGGGCTGAAGTATCAAAGGGACTGGAAAAGTGAAGAAAAATAGACTTGAGGTCTCTTTGGGAAATGCAGGTAATACTGAAGAAATATGGATGTGTCCAGGTTATAAGACCTTTAAAAACAAAACAAAAGGCATGGTGAACAGGCAATTGCTCTAGGGTTAGAAGTTCTCATCAATTTTGTGTCTGCTCCAGAGATTCCCTGGCCTGAGTGAAAGCCTCGAAGCCTGGTGAGGCCTGGGGGACAGGAGTTTTTCTTCTAGTCTCCTAGCGTGGGGCCTGACATCAGCTGTTGCACAGACAATCTGAGGCCTTATCTCATCTAGGTTGCTATGTCTGGGGAATGAACAGGATACTGATTTCCTTGGCTAGCAGTATGTTCTTGTTGTTGTTAGATGCCTTTGAGTCAACTATGGCTCATGGCAACTGTATAAACAACATATCTGAACCTTGCCCTGTCATGAGCTGTTCTTACAATCTCCATCATGCTACAGTCATTGTGCCAATCCATCTTGGTGAGGGTCATCCGCTCTTTTCCTGACCCTCCACCTTTCCCGCCAAGATGCCTTTTTTCCAAAGACTGGCTCCTCCCTCTAACCTGACCAAAGTAGCATTCTGGCAATATAGGCAGCGCGATCTTTCTAGGAACAGTTTTCACTGGCCAGAAATTTGAGTTTTTTTTAAAGATCCTCTTGCCCTTTGAATTCTAGCTGTAAAACTGAGCTTATAGACAGAGAAAGGACATTTTAATTTTTTTAGAAACTTGTTCTTCCTGTTTTATTTGCTACTATTAAGCATACACGCTTTGAAAACAGTTTTCTTTAATTCTGAAGTACTTAAGTTCTTTCTGTGTCACAGTCAATACCATTGTGTGCAAAATAAACATCACATCAATTGTAGATGAAACCACATACGTTCCACTTCCTTCCACTTGTGATTTTTAGAGGGGAGAGGGTTTATTTTCTTAAGGATCGTTAACCAGCAGAACAAAGCTAGTTGAGACTCGTATTCACCTTTCACTTTAGAAAAAGGGAGTACATAATTTTCATCTTTCAAACACTGGAATAAATGTGTTGGGTTTTGTTTTTTTTTTTAAATAAACATGAGGGACTAAAGAACAGTTTTACTTCCTTGTTTGGATAGTGTAAGGAGAAAAAGAAAGCAAAAGAACAGATGGGACCAAGAGAAATAGGGGTGTGGATAAAGAAGACAGGAAAACAGTGGCAAAGTGAAGCCATGGAGAAGGTATAGAGGAAGAAGTCATGCAGACACGGAAGTAGGAAACGGGGAAAATACGGGGAAAATACAGGGGACAAAGAGAGGTGGAAAGAAACGATCATTTTGTTTGGTAACATTAATTACAACGTTGTTGTTATGTGCCTTTGAAATGGAACCTCCTCATAGCTGCCACTCCAGCAGGTTTTTTAAAAGCTGTAAATTGCCTGGGAGGAGATTTCCTATCTTTATCCTGCAGAGCAGGTGGTGGATTCCAACTGCCTGCCTTTGGCTTGGCAGTGTTTACTCCTTGCCACTAGGCCACCAGAATGCCTTTAATTAAAATAGCAGTCATCATACTTCCTCCTTGTAAATCTCATTTCTGCTGACTCTCCTAATCCCACCTCTTCTGCTGTCTGGGCTTTATTTGGGCTATTGAGTGTCTTCCTGGCATTGCTGTGCACCTTCTAGGCCTGTCTGGTGTGTGACTGAAAGTTGAGCCTTGGGAGTAAGCTTAGTTCTAGGTTCCAAGGGTGACTAAGGGCCATAGTCTTGGAAAACTCCCTCTTTATTAAAACTCCTGTCATAGGATATGATTGCCAGCTGGGCTTCTACCCTTGACTATCCCCAAGTACCTCCAAAAGATCAAAATGCATTCTGATCCCACCCTATGTCTCATTGTCAGAAAAACTACCAGATCTCTATTGCATGTTAAAGGTCATCTTAGATTCTTCCCTTTTTATCACTTCCACATTTCATTGATCACCAACTCCTGCTGTTTCTATTCATATAAAATTAATCTGTATGCAGCTGAGTTACCTGCCCTTTATTTGTATCACTTTTGTACAATGTAGCACAAAATTACTACAGCAAACTGAAAAGTAACTGCAATCTTTACCATAGTCTTCCTGGAAACATCAAAGGACAGTGATATAGTATGATATATGGCAAAATGGTCTAAAAGTCCCTTCACTCACCCATTTCTTCAAAATACCTACTACATCCTTACAGTTTGGGGAATGAGCTCTCATTCATACAATCCTCCCCAAAACGTTATCTTTAAACCCTATCTCTGGCTTTTACTTGCTCTGCATTATTATTACCTATTCTGTCTTGGAGGAAATGTAACCAGAGTGCTCCTTAGAGGCAAGGACGGTGATTCTTCATCTCACATACTTTGGGCATGTGATCAAGAGGGACTTGGTATTGTGTACCATTGAGTCAAAACCGACCCAGAGCTGACCCTCCAGTGCATTTTCAAAGGTAGTTAACTGTCTGGGGGTGGGGAGATTGTCCATCCTTCTCCAGTGGAGCAGCTGGTGGCCTCAAACTGTGTGCTTTTGGGATTGCAATGCAGCTTCTTGCCACTGGGCCACCAGAGCTTCCTTCAAGAAGGACTGTTGTTGTTAAGTGCCATTGAGTCACTTTTGATTCATAGTGACCCTATGTACAACAGCCCTAAACTCTACTCTGTCCTGTGCCAATCACACTGTCTCTGACACACCCATCCCGATTATCCCAGTCACTAAATCAATCCACCTCATAGAGGTCCTTCCCTCCTGCGCTATCCCTCCACCCTACCAAGCATGATGTCCGTCTCCAAGGACCGCTCCCTCCTTACAACATGTCCAAAGTATGTTAGATGGAGCCTTAGAATCCTTGCCTCCAAGGAGCAGCCTGGTTTAGCCCTTTCCAGGATGAATCTGTTTGTTTTCCTAGCAGTCCATGGTACCCTCAATACTCTTCTCCAGCACCACAGCTCAAAGGCACCAATTCTCCTTCTATCCTCCTTAGTTATTGTCCAACTCTGATGCATAACAAGTGATAGCAAAGACCATGGCCTGTATCAGATGTACCTTAGTCTCCAGAGAGACACCATTGCTTTTCAGTACTTTGGAGAGGTCCCTAACAGCAGACTTTCCAATCGCAATACGTCTTTTAATTTCCTGGCTGCTGGTGCCAAGAGTGTTGACTGTGGAGCCAAGCAAACTAAAGCTGTGAACAATCTCAATCTCTTCACCGTCCATCCTGATGCTGTCAACTGGCCCAGTGGTGAGAATCTTTGTCTTCTTGATATTGAGCCTCAATCCGTATTGAAGCCTGCAGTCCTTGACCTCTGCAGCAAGCACTTCAGGTCCTCCTCACTTTCAGCAAGCAGGGTTGTGTCATCTGCATATCGCAGACTGTTGATAGATCTTCCACCAATCTTGACTCCACATTCCTCCTTATAGAGCTCAGCCTCCTGGATAATCTGTTCTGCATACAGGTTGAAAAGGTATGGAGACAGGACACATCCTTGGCGTACGCCCTTCCCAATTTTGAACCATGCTGTGTTTCCTTGCTCTGTTCTGACGACTGCATCTTGGTCCAAGTATAGGTTTCGCATTAGCATGATCAAGTGTTCTGGGATTCCTATTCTTCTCAGAGTCAGCCACAGTTTGTTATGATCCACACAGTCAAATGCCTTTGCATAGTCACTGAAACACAGATATACATTCCTCTGGTATTCCCTGCTTTCAGCCAAGATCCATCTAACATTAGCTACAATATCCCTAGTACCACGACCCCTTCTAAACCCAGCTTGGACTTCGGGCAGTTCTCTGCTGATGTGCTGTTCCAGTCATTTTTGGATAATCTTCAGTAAAATCTTGCTTGCACGTGAAATTAATGATATTGTTCTATAGTTTCCATACTCTGTTGGGTCACCCTTCTTTGGCATGGGAACAAATATAGATCTCTTCCAGTCAGTTGGCCAAGTGGTTGTTCTCCAGATTTCTTGGCACAACTTGGTGAGCACATCCAGGGCAGCATCTGTTAGCTGAAATATGTCAATTGGTATACCATCTATTCCTGGAGCCTTATTTTTTGCTATTTCCTTCAAAGCAGCTTGAACTTCTTCCTTCATCACTATAGGCTCTTGCTCATATGTTGTTTCATGAAATTCTTCTGT